ATTATGCGTGCCAATCAAGCATTCTAGCACAGAGCCACGCCATGTCTCGGCACTGCTTTTCAAATAGACCCTATGATGTTCGTAAAACGTCAATCGCCGTTGCAGTGCTGGCTAATAAATTTTATAAATATTACATATGTACTGATACAGCCGTCAAGTCGGGCTAAAAGACAATTGCAGTTAGGTACCACGTGCTGAAGTTCATTTGTGTAGCAGTGTGTCAGTATCAATAATGGTAATCTACCACTAATCCTCAAGAGGGAGGTATATAACAGCTGCATCTTGCCAGTACTTACCTACGGAGTAGAAACCTGAAGGCTTACACAGAGGGTTCAGCTTAAATTGAGGACGACGCAGCGAGTGATGGAAAGCAAAATGATAGGTGTAACTTTAGGAGACAAGAAGAGAGCAGAGTGGGTCAGGTCACAGACTGGGGTAAAGATATAATAGTTTAAATCAAGAAGAAGAAACGGACATGGGCCTGGCACGTATCGCGTAGGCATGCAGGATAACTGCTGGTCATCAAGGGTAACTGAATGGATTCCCAGAGAAGGCAAACGTGCGAAGGGAAGACAGAAAGTTAGGTGGGCCGATGAGATTAAGAAGTTCGCAGGAATAAGGTGGCATCAAAAAGCACAAGACCGGGTTGATTGGCAGATCATGGGAGAGGCCTTTTCCCTGCAGTGGGCGTAGTCAGGCTGATGATGATGATGATGTCAAGGGCTACCACCCTCACGAGCACCAGCGCTTGATATCAGCTTATCACTTCTGGTGTTGCTTATACTCATGTTCCTGTTGACATAATGGCGCAAGTGCAAAGCACTGATTACATAAACATCCGCAACTCTTCAACATATATCTCTGTGCGCAACATTTAAACATATACTTAGCGTCATTTCATGACATGTCGCTCAATAGCAAAATTTATACTCAATGTTCAATACAAAAATAACACGGTCACTTTCCCTTCGCATGCTTCGCATAACGTCGATTCTTACGGTACGTGGGATCTGCCGAACTCTGTTCTTTTTTAGATGGCTTCTACGCAAAAAAACGACGCGCTCCCATACAAATCACACATGTTTGCAAGAGCGGCTGCTAGAGGAGCTGTTTCGTGATGTACCCTAATTCCTGAACATAATTTATGAGCACGTTGAAGAACCCATATGGCTAGAGTTTTCGGAGCACTCTGCTATAGCGTACCTCATAATCACATCGTGGTTTCGGGACGTAAAACTCCAGCAGTATCAACGTTCACCTAAAAGGAGGTACGTGCTGTCCTTGCATTTTGCTCCAAGATACACACATACATACATACATACGTACGTACATACATACATACATACATACATACATACATACATACATACATACATACATACATACACACACACATACATACATACATACATACACATACATACATACATACATACATACATACATACATACATACATACTACATACATACATACATACATACATACATACATACATACATACATACATACATACATACATACATACATACATACATACATACATACATACATACATACATACATACATACATACATACATACATACATACATACATACATACATACATACATACATACATACATACATACATACCCGTTTTGTCTAGTGGTCCATTCAATGAGCATAACTGTCCTCCACGGTAGCATAGTATAAAATTGGGAGCCGCTTACTCAGGAGACAATAAAAACGAAGCGTTTCAATTGCGAAAATGATTTATTGCTATGGTTTTGTAATATTCATAAACAATCTCTAATGCTTTCAAACCACCTTGGCTCTCTCGCACTTAACTACCTGTTAAACATGGTTGATCTGCTGCTGCGTGTTTAGAAGGAGAGTGCAAAGGGAGACGCTTCGGTACTCTTCGAACACCGGAGTTTGTTAACCACGACACTTAACAAACAGTTACAAGTCATACTGACTTGCTTGTTCAACAATTGGCGTCTGTCCTTTTTTTGCAATAAATATATATCGAAACACTAAGCACACGTAAACTGCCCACACTGAACAGCACGGCATATCGCGACGCAGAGGAAGGAAAAATAGGCTGCGTGTTCACGCAACTGTGAGCCAGAAAAAACTTCACGTATTTTTTTAATTTTTAACGGGCCTCAGTAAATCAGCAAAGTTTGTGTGTGTGTGTGTGCGTGTGTGTGTGTGTGTGTGTGTGTGTGTGTGTTTTGTGACTATTGTATGCAAGGTAACCCTTTCTTCGCCTTCCTTCTTTGGAATTTGAATTAGCCAAAGAAAAAAACTCGTTGACTGTTCACTCGACGAAGGTGGAAGGTGTGTGGCCAGCGGAGCTGACGGGCGCAATATCTCCTTTGGTGTTTGTCTAAGGTAGAGGTCTCAAACTCACCTCAGCCAGCGGACCACATTCGCAAATATCAGTCTCACAGGGACCGGGACAGATGGTGCCGTGACATGGGGACGGGATCATCGTGGGAGCAAGAGGAGGGTAGTGGTGGAGTGAGTTGAACAAAATGTCACCTGATGTCACCTGATGTCACCAGAATTTTTCTTATTTGGGCAATTCAGCATGTTGTTGTGCTGCAGAGGGCTTTTTTTGCCATCAGTAAACAACCGTATAGTAACGCGCAGCAGCCGTGACAGGTGCTCTCGCTGCGGCCAATAGTAAGACGTAAAGCCCCTCCATCTCGTCTATACTGCCAGCCGGCGAAAAACGGATGTACGGGCTTTATTGAGACGGTAAACGCTGTTGCTGTTAATCTACGTGCTCGATCTATGCACGCAGCGATCCACGGCTAACTAGCGTATAACAGTTCTGCTGTAAAAAAAAGAAGAAAGAACGTCAAACTAATAGAGAATGCTCAGTGAAGTTATAAAATGAAATTTTGGAAATGACAATGTTAAAAAGCTTTACTGATATGCTAACTTTCCTAGTGGCTCTCCGATGGAATACTGCAGTATGGTAACACATAAGAATGCATATTGGTATGTTATGCTAGCTTTCCTAGTGGGGCTCTCGGAAGGAATACTTCAGTGTGATAAAACGCAAGAAAACGTAGTCGTATGTTCGCGCAATCCACTGTTTTGGAAGTGCATCGACACTCCTGTTCCTGCTCCTTGCTACGCAAACGGCTTTGGCCATAACAATGAGAGGCTCGCTTTCTTGATTCGCATAGCGTGAACGGTGCCCGGCTACTAAACAGAGATCTTGAACAAAACTGCTCGTACGATGGTTGCTTGAGCGGACAATAATAGAATATTATTGCATCTAAGCTGCAGTATCTACATAGCGGCGTGATAGCGAATTTGGCCGCAGGACGCAGGGCAGGTGGATAGGGCTACGCTGTGCTGTGGTCATCCTATAGTGTAAATGGGTGCGTGCGACTGAAAGCAAGCTATGTTTGCGATTCGCGTCGATTTGGGTGCCTTTCTGAAGAACCTATACGTGCAAGTTTTGATAGAGCTCCTAATAATGAATTTCGAATAATTCGAACTCCTAACAGATGTACGTACGTATATTTCTCAGTAAATGATACGATGTATTGCACACACGCGGCATGAACGACCTGATTTCGAATTTCGCCGACTAATTCTCATTTTCAAATCATTCCAGAAATTTTCATCATAGAAAGCTATTAACAATGAACGCGGGCGTTTTCAAATGAAATAGCATCGCAAGCATCTTCAAGCATACCAGCAAGCGTGTAAATCGCAGGTAATATTTATTACTATCTCTATTTCTCTGTCTTTCTTGCTGGCACTGATATGAATCATCCTGTTGCAGTCCACACCTTCATTTCATTTTTCGCTAATACGTGCGACATAGGCTATCATGCCCTCGAGCGTGATACGTGTCCCGTGAGCCCTTGTTTTTAACACACGAATAAAAAAGACTTGTAGCAAAATATGACCCAGGATATAAATATATCTAGGCTGCCTACATACATTTGAAGCTATCATCAACACCACCTTGTTATTTAATTAGCGAAGCAATTTATTCGTCTTTTGTTAAAACAAGATTAACATATTCTAGGACAGAAATTACGGTACAATCTATAGTACTTGAAGGATGCACTCCATTAAGTGGAAAGCTCCTCAAAATTTAGAAGACCCATCCAGATTTTTCTGCAACCTACAAGCATTTCCAGACGAATAGTTCCCTAAAACAAACAATCTGCAGGCCACAAAAGTGTAATATTGATTATGCTGGCTGCAAGAAACACAAATCACAGACTATTAAACTTTTAGATTAGTAATGGCGAGAATTTCACACCACCGATAAATAAAAAAACGCTAACAGTTGGCCTGACAGCTGAGTGCTGCATTTTTGTTTGGCTCGCTGCCCATCAACAAAGAACTCCCACTATTGCGAACGGAAGTTACTCTATCTAGCTCTGGAATATTCAAGCTTCTCGGTTGTTCGGCGTTCATTTTCGTTGTGCATTTCTCGCGGTACATCGCGAAAGAAAAGTGCATCGCGTATTGACGCGTTCATTCAGTCTCTATTAACAAGCAGCGTCACAAAGCGAGTCTCGTGTTCCGAGTCAATCATTCTTCAAGAATCGATTGCGTTCTGCCTTCCAGTCTGCAGCCAAATTCTTCACGCCGGCACTCGCAGCGCGCGTCGAGTGAGAGCCTCGGGCCGCGTCGATTGCCGCCGCACCGTCCAGAAACGGCTCGAAAATCAATGGACGCGCACTGCTCGCGCATGGGTTAGCGTGGCATGCCACCGCTATACGCTCACCGAACTGTCAGGACGTGCTGTCCATCGACAGAATGTTCTGGGTGGGATTAATGGGAACGTAAGGCAAAGAACTTTGCAGATGGTGTCAATGCGATCCGAAAGCATGAACCGGCACCAGACCGGAAGACGGAACTAGTTTGTTGCCTAACACTCAACGCCATGTCGAAGGCTCAGGTGCCAGGAGCGCCTGCTTGAGCCAGGAAAGGCAGCCCTAACGTGCGTCGCGGGGCAGCAGCGGGCGTGCGCGTCAGAGGAAGTCCTCCTCTACGCGAGTCCGGCAGGTGTCTGCTCCAGCAAAACTGAGTAGGCCCATAGTCGCAGCCTTGCCGTAGCGATGCCTGCGCTCCCCGACGCGAGAATCCATACCCACGTGCACTCTGATCGAGCTGGTTGTCTTGTTGTCACCGATAGGCGGCTTGCTGAACTCGGGGTGACTCTTGCAGCAGAAATAGTGGACCAAGTACAGAAAGCCCTGGCGGAATGCGTCGTGTGTGAATGCGTACACGCAGCCGCAGATGCAGCTGAAGCATTGGGCGGTGAAGAAAAGCGTCTCGACAGCTGATGTGCCTGGGTTGGAGCTCCGCATGGATGGGCTGATGATGACCGTTAGCAGAAAAGGAAGCCAAAGAAGGAGGAACAGGGCGTACGCAATGGCGTTGGTACGCAGAAGGGTTCGCTGGAGTATCTCCTCGCGAGTGGCCAGGCAGTTTCGCAGCTCCAGGTTGTATGTATAGTCCCGTTGTTCGTGCATGGCCTTGGCGAACACCGCGACGGTGAGTGCGAAAGGAACACACAGCGCTACGAACATTTTACTTTCGCGCATGTCCCGTTCACAGACATCTAGGCCACCCGTCACCAGAGTGACGACAAGAACCAGCGAGATTGCGATCGTCCAGGCTGCCAACATTAGGAAGACGACCAGCTTTGCGCCGCACACGGACGAGTAGACGTCCCGGTCCTGGCGACAACTGCGCACGTAGTTTTCGGCCGCGATGAATAGGAAGGTGAACACTGTGGTGTAGAAGCCCAATAGCGCTGGGTACCACTGCCAGCGACAGGTGATTAAGCTGCCCTGGCTGCCGGCCAGAATGGCCACGATTGTCACAGGGAAGCCGACCGATGACACGAGCAGGTTGGCGAGGGCAAGGTTCGCGAGCAGCACATTGCCCTTGCGCCTCAAGTTCTCCTGGATGAAGAGCGATGAGATCTGGAATATGTTGAGCGTGGTTCCGAGCACAGCCAGCACGCCGTATAGGACGAGGCTCGTCAGGGCATTGTGCTGGTATGGCATCCATACGAGCACGGGCTCCCCACCGGTTCCTGAAGAGGAGTTCTCTGCTGCCGGATGCGGGAAGACTGGTGCCGTGTACGTGACCGATTGAATGCTGTTCTGCTGCTGATGCGATGGCTGCTGTGGAACCCGTTTCAGCAGCTCCAGGAACAGTGAGGCAGAGGATGCGCCCATCAAACCCACGTCCGCACAGGAACGCCACCTGGTAGTTGGCGCTGCTGGGAACTGCGAGAGCGGGAGAAAAAAAACGGTCTAATTAGTTACGCATAGCACAATGCAGCAAAAGACATTGTTTATTCCTATTTGCCCTATTGAATATGAAGGCCCGTAAGGCACCCAGTACCACGTAAGGTTACGTATATAAAATTACAGATATGAACCGCTATACCGAAAAGCACACAAAGGATCACTTCCTTTGTATAGCAATTACGAAATATTTAATCTTCAAAACATACGTATAGGTATTTAATAGCGAGACTCAATATAAACAAAACGAATCTTCAGGTGAGAGAAATCACGAGGAAAAAATTATGTCTAGGCAATCACAGTTTCCGTAATACTAACTTCACTACGAAGGCAAGCATTTTCACCTCTCCTGTAAGTAATGAGAGACGTTTAGACTTCCGAAAGTAATAATAAACTGGTTTAGTGTCAAGTGCAATCAGTTCAGTTCAGCTAATTTTCCGTAAAGACTTTTTATAGGGCGTCTCTACATAAAATATTGGGCCAAAAATGTGACGTATGCACAAGTGTTAAAAGTTCTGCGAACACTAATTGTAACTGAAATGCTTTGTTCGTTACGTGTTACCTGCATGAAAGTGCCGTCTATGCACCATGAATGACACAGTCCTTCAGGACGATTGATTTTATCGTCCGAGCTTATGCTTGAAACGCTCAGAAAGTCGCATTTGACGACTTCACTGTGCTTATCCTGAAGCGTTTCTGGTCCGAGATACTGAACAAGTTTGACACTTAATCAGCCGATTCCTCCTTCGGGAGCGTGAATCTCGACATCACGCCTGGCGATTAGGTTGCAAAGAACGAAAAGCGATGGATAAAAAAACGCCCGTGATTTTTGAGTCTTTCATTTCGTCTTCGCCAACCAAAACGAGAGAAACAGCGCCATGCAACTTAAAGTTCCAAAAATAGTGTAGTGAAGGCAGTAAGCAACATGGCAATGGGGGCTTGACGTCGTGCCCAGATCTCCACCCCCTTGAATGACAATTAACTTATGAGTGTCCCATTTGAGAATACATACCTCGGAAAGAAAGCGCTACAAAATAATTGACCTCAGGATAATAACCATAATACCAAAGTACGATTGTCCCGTGTAAAAAAACGATATAAGTTTTTACTATCCTGACAGAAAAAAAACGTACTACAATTTTTTCATGCTTTATTCGGTTATTCGAATATGCTACAAAAAGTGTGTCCGCAGCTCCACCGCGGTGGTCTAGTGGCTAAGGTACTCGGCTGCTGACCCGCAGGTCACGGGATCGAATCCCGGCTGCGGCGGCTGCATTTCCGATGGAGGCTGAAATACTGTAGGCCCGTGTGCTCAGATTTGGGTGCACGTTAAAGAACCCCAGGTGGTCGAGATTTCCGGAGCCCTTCACTACGGCGTCTCTCATAATCATATGGTGGTTTTGGGGCATTAAACCCCACATATAAATCAAATTAAAGTGTGTCCGCAAAGAGCACAAGACGTCGGTGCAAGGAGATTTCACGAGTACCTAAAGTGAAGCGTTTTTATTTATGTAAAGTTAGTAAGATGAATTTCGCGCCTGCCTAAGCATAGTTTAAGAGCTGTGGAAGGTGCGCTATATAAAGTATCAGGCACCACCTCGTGAACGTATCGCACACGTGGGTGGACTATCATTGTCGACTGTCGACGCCATCCGCACCGCTGACACGTACGAGGCCTATACGCACTCACGGGAAGTGTTGTTGTTGACATGGGCCGGTTGCATGGCGCTCGACTTGCGTAAATAAAAGATATTGACACAACCAACGGTATGATCTGTATTGCAACACTCTGAGTGGAGTATCCAGCAAAGGTATTGAAAAAATAAATAATCACACACACACCCTTTGCACCGTGAGCACTGACGTAAGCGTAGCCATTGTTTGGTCCCACCGCTCGCGCTATGCTTGCCGGCGTGTATTTCTTCACCAGCACAGATGACACTGTCGACTGATCAAAGGCTGGCTAACAGCAACGATAAGTTGAAATGCTTTGAACTATCCATAACTGACTATCATGCACGCGTTGGGTATCAGTAGTGAGAATTAACCAACTTACCTATAGGCTATTCTACTGAGCGTCTGCACAGGCCAGAAGACGTGCCATAGCTGTTGGCCAGGCAACTAAAAACAAACTTTATGCATATTATGTGTAACTACCTACCTTTACGCAAAATGTTAGAGCTCATTATCGCATCGTATATCTACAGCCATGTGGAGACCAATTAATTTTTTCATTACCAATCAGTTATTATACCTCTAAACTGACGACAAATTTGCATTCACTGCTTCTGGTGTTTCCCTCTTATCAGTTAGCACTCATCTGTTTATCCATATGCTCGAAACTGAACTCATTGCAGGCGAAAGGTATGCTGCCAGCGCTTATAAGGTGTCACTTCGATATTGTAGTGTTATTATTTCTTTGACAAACTTTTGACTTTACACGCATTTTAGTCATCTCCTGGTCCAGTCTGTAGTTATTATTTTTAGGCTTTACTACCTCTTTTCACTCACTCATTATTTACAAAAATAAAGTATTGTGCTTGGTGAGTTCAAATTCAAAAATTCTTGTTCCAATGCAGCTGGGAATGTCTGGCGCACAAAAGTAGGATCTTATATGCACCTTCACGATGTATTCTGCAGAAGTGGTGAACATCACAGTTCACACACCATAAATTACATCATCTCGACCTACCTCTACGACTGCGGCTACGTCCGACGCGATGGTGTAACGGTTACAGTGCTCGGATGTTGACCCGAAGGTCGCGGGTTCGATACCGGCCCTGGCGGTCGCATTTCAATTGAGGCGAAACACTAGAAACTGGTGTCCTCTGCGGTTTCAGTGCACGTTAATGAACATCGGACAGTCAAAACTGCCGAAGGCCTCCACTATGGCGTCCCTCATAATCATTGTTACTGTTAAGGCGTTTATTAGCCGGCAACCAGCGAGCATACACAATGGCGACAGTCAAGGCCAAGCACGGACTCTCAGCGCGAGAGGCGTCCTTTTTGGGTAGACCCTCTAGAAAGCACTTGAGAGTTCGACCCATTTCCGTGTTCGGAGGCTTCGCTACTGTTACCCCGGGGTCGAAGAGGGAGCCGCCTGGCTACCTAACAGCTTGTTACTATGAGCGGGTCAAAATAAACCATCAGGCGCTCCACGTTGACGATGTCGCGCCCACGGCAGCGCATGTCCGAAGATTGTTCGACGGGTTCGATCAGATAGTTGACCGGAGATGTGCGCTTGATGACACGGTAGGGGTCATCGTATTTGGGAAGTAGTTTGGAAGAGAGGCCAGCTAGAGAGGTCGGAATCGAGAGCCATACAAGCTTACCAGGAAGGAACGTGGGCTCAGAAGTGGTGGAGCCATCACGAATACTCTTCTGCCGCTCTTGCTCATACGTCGTAAAAGCCTTGGCAAGCTCGCGACACTCTTCAGCAAGCCTGGCTGTCTCAGAAATAGGTGCACACTCAGATGGATCAGGCGTGTACGGGAGTATCGTGTCCATGGTGTGCGACGGGTGCCTTCCATACAGCAAGTAGAAAGGTGAAAAACCGGTCGTGCTCGGAGGGGCGATGTTGTAGGCGTAGGGGACGAAGGGCAGTATATTATCCCGATTCGTGTGGTTGGCGGCGACGTACATCGAAAGCATGTCGCCGAGGGTGCGGTTAAAGCGTTCGGTGAGGCCATTCGTCCGCGGGTGGTAAGCAGTAGTTTCGCGGTCGACAGAATGGCACTCCGTCAGAATGGCTTCGACAACTTCCGACAAGAAGACACGGCCTCGATCGCTGAGAAGCTCTTGGGGTGGTCCGTGGCGCAGTATGAATTGATGCAGCAGCAAGGACGCAACATCGCACGAAGTAGCCGCTGGGAAAGCGGCAGTTTCGGCGTATCGCGTTAAATGGTCTAAGGCAACGATGGCCCAGCGGTTACTAGCCGACGTCAGAGGAAGCGGTCCATACAAGTCAATACCTACGCGCCCAGACGGACAGTCAGGGCAAGGTAATAGTTGCAGACCGGCGTGCGACATGTGTGCGGACGGCTTGCGCCGTTGGCAAGCGAGGCAAGAGCGAACGAACTGCTGCACGTAGCGGTACATCCCGCGCCAGAAGTAGCGTTGTCAAATGCGGTGGTAAGTTTTGGATACCCCAGAGTGCGCGCATTGCGGATTTGAATAGAAAGATTCACATATCTCCAACCGCAGACTGCGGGGTATCACGAGTAACCACTGCCGGCCATCGGCGTCGTAATTTCGTCTGTGTAGGAGACCGTCACGGATGGCGAAATGGTGAGCTCGACGACGGAAAGCACGCGTGGATGGTGTTGCGGACGGATGAGAGAGGAAGTCGATTAAGAGGGCTATCCAATTATCCTTTCGCTGTTCGGTAGCGAGGATGTCAACATCGATGGCAGAAACAGCAATTCAGGTTACTGAGCAGGGCACGTCGTCTTAGGGTAGAGGGGAGCGCGAGAGGGCATCGGCCTCAGTATGCTGGCGTCCGTTGCGGTACAACACGCGGATGTCGTATTCTTGTAAGCGGAAAGCCCTACGGGCGAGACAGCCTGAGAGATCCTTTATTGATGAAAGCATGCATAGTGCATGATGGTCGGTGACGACATCGAATGGGCGACCATAAAATAAGGTCGAAACTTAGTAAGGCCCCAGACGATCGCCAGGCACTCTTTCTCCGTGACGGTGTTGTTTGTCTCGGCTCTCGTGAGCGTGTGGCTTGCATATGCTACGACATATTCAGGGAATACGGGTTCGCGCTGCGCCAGGACAGCGCCGAGGTCTACACCACTGGCATCCGTGTGCACCTCCGTTGGGGCTGTAGGATCGTAGTGGCGTAGAATGGGAGGCGAGGTAAACAAATGGCGGAGCTTCGCGAACGCATCATCGCACTCGGATTACCACGAATTGAGGGGCCC